TTTCTAACTTGTTCACTGTATCATTGTCATTTCAAAGGAGCTTTATTCTTACCTGCCGCTAAGTTAAACAACGTAAGAATCTGTACTGAGTTAGCATTATGAAAGGTTTACTTAGGTGCTCGAAATCTTTGTTTCTGCTGTGGTAAATTTCCATGATTGTTCTTCTTTCTAACTATGTTAAGCGTTGATCACTGTTCCCAAATTATGTACCTAATCTTTCTGGAATGACTGACAAAGTGGTACATGTGACAAAATCTTATACACTAGGTTTCCTCGACAACTTAGGAGCCTACTTATAGCAAGTACATCAGAAGAAAGCATCGTACAAACAGTTTCAATCGCAATCCAGTCACTGAAAACGTACACGCTTAAAGTCCTGAATCAAAACTTGAATAGAAAGTGGAAAACATCCATGAACCATTCTGCTCAAGTGCTCCATAATTGTGTTTAAAATTACCAAAGTGGTAACCGATAATAGTGACGACGTTCTGAAAGAGGCTGACTCACATTTTGTCCCGACAGGCCATCGCGCTCTCTTTGACGCAGTAATACGGACGTCGCGCTGCCGTCCTCGAATGACTGATCAACTTTCGCCTTTATCGACCCACGTCCATGACCCTCATCCATGTTCCGTCTTCTCTCGTACATCATTCTACCTTATCCTCTCGTACAGAGTATTTAATTTCTTTCCGAATATTACATGATCTACTTACTGTTGCAGGCCAATCCATTGCACAAAAGGCCTCCGAAATGTCGTTTTTCGGTAAAATGAAAAACTTATTTCGGGGTCCTGCTATGGAGGATTCGAAGAGGCCATTGCCATCCATAATTGAGGTACTTGTATCTGCTGAAGCTGCCACATTCTTTGAAAAATGGCAAACATTTTAAAATGAGTCTGATCAATGGAATCACTTAAGCAATTTCAGTTCACCACATGAAAAATTGCTCATTGCTCAAAAATTCCTTTCAAAAAGTTGTTGATACGCCTATTCCTAATCGTTTTTTTAGTCTCTATATGATAAAGGCTATCAGAGGTATAGTAGAAGCAAACATCGTACAAGCAGTAATTGATACTATCGGAAGTAAAAGTTCAACCACTGTGATACACCAGAAGTTTCCTAATGCAGTTTATTTGTCAGGTAAATGTAAATCCAAAGGAATATTGGGAAATTGTTGGAGAACTCGGTGATGGTGCATTTGGGAAGGTCGAAAAAGCTGTTTCCAAATCAGACAAGAATCTTTACGCAGCCGCTAAGGTAATTCAAGTGTTATTATAAATATGATAGGTCTTCATTTTCCGAAATTATAGTC